CATGACCTGAGCCGAAGGCAGACGCTTAATGACTGAGCCACCCAGGTGCCCCAGATCCTAGAATTCGTTCAAGAAAAGTGAATATATACCAATGGTACAGAAATGATACTAGTCAATTATTCACATATAGTTTAGATCTTCAAAGAGTTTTCAAAACTCTAGGTGATGACTTGTATGTGACATAGTAATTAGCAATAACTCAGTAATAATCTGAAACCACTTTTTTTTTTTTTTTAAAGATTTTTTTTATTTATTTGACAGAGAGAGAAAGGGAACACAAGCAGGGGGAGTGGGAGAAGGAGAAGCAGGCTTCAGATGCGGGGCTCGATCCCAGGACCCTGGGACCATGACCTGAGCCGAAGGCAGACACTTAACGACTGAGCCACCCAGGCGCCCCTGAAACATCACTAGTTCTTAAGTGCCTTGCCTCCTTTAAAATAATTTACTCTAGTTTTTTTTTTTACCTTTTGTCTCCCTGTAAGGTAAGTATATGGTCTGATTTCAACCCCTGCCCCAGAAAAGGAATATGGAGCATTTTTACTAAAGATCCATTCTGTTTTCATCAGGCTTCTCTTTTAAGGCATCAAAGTCCAAATATTAATGTATAATTTTCTAAGCGTGTCTAATGTGTAAGATGGGGGTGAACTCTGGCCATGGTGACAACTGCAGAACATACTTCACATTTTTGCCCTCCTGCGGAGTCGCTATTTACAAACTCTGAAGTGAAAAGAAATAGATGTAAACAGATATAATTCCGGCTAACAAGTTTGGTTTCTCAGTTTAATTGAATCCATTCCAGTTAATCTATTTCTCATTCACCTTACAGGAAAATAATACTTGTATAAAAGCCACAGCTTTGGTAAAGTAGGTTGTGCAGGATATGCGTTTTGAAAATATGTGAGGTTAACAGACTGCTGTGATTTGTCTCAAGCTTGAGGAGAACCATTATGTCATGGAGCTGGGTCAAGTAGCACCCACCAGAATGCTTCCTGTGTTGTTTGTTGCAGCTGAGTCCACAAGCCTGTTTTTTTTCTTATGTCACATCGGAATGCAGTGCTTCACATTTTCTTCTTTTTAAAGGGAAAGACTCCGAGGATGTCTCTTCTTTCTGAGTAAAGATGACTGTAGGTATAATACATACCTAACATGGAGAAGGAAGCGGCAAAAGTAAGGCTGATTAACCATTTCTCTGGTTTTAAAATACAGTCAGCGTGCTGCCTGGAGTCTAATAAGGACAAGACACTTGCAAGGGAGACTCAAAAAAAAGGAACTCTTAAACAAGGGTCCAGAAAGGGAAGTAAAGTTTTGTTTAAGGCAAGGAATTAATTTTCCCCTTTCTTGACGGTGGCTGTATCAGCCCTGCAGTTTCACATCTGTCTTCTCCCTTATGCATTGTTCTTATTTGTCTGATAATGACTGGCTCTAGAACAACTACCTTTGGGAATCTGTGAAGGTCAGAGCTGCAGAAAGTGAAATGTAATCACGGAAGTCTTTGCCAGTTAAACTTTCTTAACTGTTAAGTTTTTGTTCCACACATTTTTTCTTGTGTTTTTAGCACCTACTCCCACGTGCCTGCTGGGAAATGCTAGCACATAAAACCAAACAGGAAACAAAATAGATGATACAAATGGTGCAGCCTGCTTACTTTGACATCTAGGTTTTCTCTGTAGATCCCTGTATCCATAGTCAAACTTCTACGTTTTCTACACAACGCAGGTACGTTACCTGCCCGTAAACCTGTTCTTGTTTGTACGTGATATATTTGAACTTGTGATGTCCTGCAAAAAAGCATTGTAACTTCTAGGTGCTTTACTAACAAGGTCTAGTTCATCATTCTGGGCTTCCTCCTCTGTTTCTCCCATGTTCACAGACCTTTCTGTTAAAGTAGATAGCAGCACAAAGCAGAAAGCACAGGAAGAATGCAACAACAAAACAGAAAAGCCACTTACCTATAAAGAGCATCATGAGATATATTTTCAGCACGTATGGGAAATAGATGGATAAGTCAAAGGGCAGCTTTGTGGAATAAGTGCCAAATGATTCAAAATAAGGCAGCGACTGATAGATGGCAAATGCTGTTTAAAGAACAGAGAAGGAATTGTGAAACCTTCCCCTCATATTGCTACAGGGATGTGTATACATAAATGTCTACAGAGTCCAGGGATATTCTGAATTTTATAATGACAGTTGTGACAGGTGCTGACTCCCTTAGCTGAAGCTAAGGAATGATTCAACTGGCAAGGCCGTTATAGCAGCGTGACTTGAACTTTACAGAGAAATAATTTCTGCTTTTTAAAAATGGTATCCCCAACTACTTGTCCCCCTTCTCACAAATAGACAAATGAATTTGAAGAATGCTGCATAGAGTTTCTTCTTGGGAGTTTCAAAACACACATCAGTACAGTAGAGATTCTAAAAAGCTCTGCAATAAGGAAACTGGTTTTACTGAGCATTTCCTCAGCTTAACTGGCCTTGGAAGAGCTCCTCCTTCCTCCTTCCCCAACATCGGAACTTAAAGAATGGTAAGAAACTGGGAGAAATGGTGGCGTAGGGAGATCCTGAGCTTACCTCATCCCATGGACACCCCAAGATAACAGCTATATCTATACAACTCTGAAAACAACCTAAAGACAGAACAGACCTTCCAGAGCTCATTGTAGAGAGAAGGTCACATGGAAAGGGGTAGGAGGGGTGGAATTGTGTACCTTTCCAAAATTGAATCAGGAAAAAAATATCTGAATACACTATTAGTAACAAAGTTGAACTGATAATTTAAAAAATCTCACAAAAGTCCAGGACCAGATGGATTTGCAGGTGAATTCTGAAAAACATTTAAGAGTTTATACATATTCGTGACAATCTTTTCCAAAAAAATAGAAGAGGAAGGGAAGCTTCCAAATACATTCAGTGAGGCCAGCATTACCCTGATATCAAAACCAGACAAAGACACTACCCTCCACCAATACAGGCTATCATCCATAATGAACTTACATGCAAAAATCCTCAACAAATTAGCAAACCTCATTCAGTAATATTTCCCACAATTAAGTGGGACTGATTATGGGGATGCAAGGGTGATTCAATATTTGCAAATCAATGTGATACACAATTAACAAAATAAAGGATAAAAATCATCAATAGATGAAAAAGCATTTGACGGAAATTCAGTATCTATTCATGATAAAAACTCAACCAAGTGGGTTTAGAGGGAATACTCCTCAACATAATAAAGGCTATATATAAAAAAGCCCAAAGCTAACATCATACTCAATGATAAAAATGGAGAGCTTTTCTTCTAAGATCAGGAACAAGTCAAGATATCCACTCCTCCCACTTTATTCAGCATAGTTACTAGAAGTTCTATCAATCAGACAAGGAAATAAGAGGCCTCCAAATTGGCAAGGAAGAAGTTAAATTCACTGCACATGACATGATACTATACATAAAAATCCTAAAGACGTCACCAAGAAAAAAAAAACTATTAGAAATAACAAATTCAGTAAAGTTGCAGGATACAAAATTAACACATAGAAATCAGTTGCATTTCTATACACTAAGAACAAAGTAGCAGAGAAATTAAAAAAACAACAATCCCATTAATAAAATACCTAGGAATAAACTTAACCAAGGAGATGAAAGACCTATACTCTGAAAACTATAAGACACTGATGAAAGAAACTGAAGATGATGCAAATGGAAAGATATACCATGCTCATGGATTGGAAGACTATCATTAAAACATCCGTACTACCCAAAGCAAACTACAGATTCAGTGCAATTCCTCTCAAAATACCAATAGCATTTTTCATAGACCTAGAACAAATAATTCTAAAGTTGGTATAGAATCACAAAAGACCTGGGGCACCTGGGTGGCTCAGTTGGTTAAGCAGCTGCCTTCAGCTCAGGTCATGATCCCAGGGCCCTGGGATTGAGCCCCACATCTGGCTCCCTGCTCAGTGGGGAGTCTGCTTCTCCCTCTCCCTCTGCTTTTCCCCCTGCTTGTGCTGTCAAATAAAAATCTTAAAAGAAAAAAAGGTTTAAAAAAAAAAATCACAGAAGACCACAAATAGCCAAAGCAAACTTGAGAAAGAACACAGCTAGAGATATCACAACTGCATATTCCAAGATATACGACTAAGCTGGCATAATCAAAATAGTATACTACTGGCACAAAAACAGACATATAAAGGGGCACCTGGGTGGCACAGTCGGTTAAGCATCTGACTCTTGGTTTTGGCTCAAGTCATGATCTCAGGGTCACGAGATCAAGCTCCACACTGCGTTCCACACTCAGTGCAGAGTTTGCTTAAGACCCTTCCTCTTCAAAAAAAAAAAAAGACTCTTCCTCTTCCTCTTCCTCTGTCCCTCCCCCTGCTCTCTCTCTAAAATAAATAAATCTTTTTAAAAAATTAGGCATATAGGGGGCCTCTGGGTGGCTCAGCTGGTTAAGCATCCAAATCTTAATCTCCACTCAGGTCTTGATCTCAGGGTTGTGAGTTCAAATCCTGCACTGGGCTCCACAATGGGCATGGAGCCTACTTTAAAAAAAAAAAAAAAAAAGACATATAGGTTAATGGAACAGGATAGAGAACCAAGAAATAAACCCATGCCTATGTATCTTGTCATAACAAAGAAGGCAAGAATATACAATGGGGAAAAGGCAGTCTCTTCAATAAATGATGCTGGGAAAACTGAATAGCCACATTCAAAAGAAAAACTGGACTTCTTTCTTATATCATACCCAAAAATAAACTCAATGGATTAAAGACCTAAATGTGAAACAGGAAACCATAAGTCTCCTAGAAGAAAACAGGCAGTACAGTCTTGGATATCTCCCTTAGCAACAGATTTATGGATAGGTCTCCTCAGGAAAGGGAAGCAAAAGCAATATTAAACTATTGGGACTATACCAAAATAAAATTTTACACAGTAAAGGAAACCAACAAAACAGAAAGGCAACCTACTGAGTGGGAGAAGATATTTGCAAATTATTTATCTTAGAAGGCATTAATATTCAAAATATATGAAGAATTTATACAACACCAAAAACACAATTCAATCTGAAAATGTGCAGAAGATACGAACATGCATTTCTCCGAAGACATACAGATGCTCAACATCACTAATCATCTCAGAAATGCAAATCAAAATCACAATGAGATATTACCTCACACTTGTCAGGATGGCTAGTATCAAAAAGAAAAGTAACAAGTTTTGGTAAGGATGTGGAGAAAACGAAACCCTCTTGCTTGCACTATTGGTAGGAATGTAAATGGGTGCAGTCACTGTGAAAAACAGTAAGGAGGTTTAAAAAAAAAAAAAAATCAAATATAGAAATACCATATGATCCAGTATTTCCAAAACTGGATATTTACCCAAAGAAAACAAAAACATTAATTCAAGGAGATATATGCATCTGTTTATTGCAGCATGATTTACAATAGCCAAGATATGGAAGCAATCCAAGCGTCCATCAAGAGTTGAGTAAAGATGTGTGGTGTGTGTATATACACATACACACAACAGAATATTACTTAGCCATAAAAAAAGGAGATCTTACCATTTGCAAGAACATGGAGGGACCTAGAGAGTATTACACTAAGTAAAATAAGACACAAAAAGACAAAAGACATACGGTTTCACTTATTTATGGAATCTAAAAAACAAAAGCACAAAAAGCAGACAGACCCATAAATACAGAGACTTGATGGTTGCTACAAAGGATGGGGTGGGGGGCTTGGGCAAAATGGGTGAAGGGGAGTGGGAGATAAAAGTTTCATTATGGAATCAATGAGTCACAGGGCTAAAAGCTACAGGATAAGGAATATAATCAATAGCACTGTAACAGTGTTGTATGGTAAGAGACGGTAGCTACACTTGTGGTGAGCACAGCATAACAGAGTTGTTGAATCACTATGTTGTATACCTGAAACTACTGTAAAAATTGTCACCTATACTTCAATTAAAAAAAAAAAAAATCAGTGGCGCTTAACTCCAGGAATGTTAAAAATCAGGAGGCTTAATGCCAGGAGAGTCAGAGGGGAATAGGAAACTGAGTCCCCACACTTACGAACCCAGCATAATAAGTAACTTGGCGGAGACACAGTGCAGAAGCAGCAGTTTGAAAAGTGCCTGGGGTATGTGTCACGGAAATTTACAGACTAGTCTTAGATTGTGTGCTGGAAGGGCAGGATCTTCAGATTTCTCTGGGAACAAAAGTGCTGACAGGGGGTACCTGGGTGGCTTAGTCATTAAGCGTCTGCCTTTGGCTCAGGTCATGATCCCGGGGTCCTAGGATCGAGCCCCGCATCGGGCTCCCTGCCTGGTGGGAAGCCTGCTTCTCCCTCTGCCCCTGCTTGTGTTCCCTCTCT